CATTCCACTGTACAGCCGAGCCACATTTTGTTCCTGCAGGCATCAGCTGAGGATGCTCAGGCTGTTTCCACCTGTTGGCTGTTGTAGGAGCAATGAACTGCAATGAACATTTGGGTGCAAGTTTGTGTTTGATCACCTGTTTTCAATCATTGGATTAAAGTTTTAAATGTGGCTGGGTGCAGTGGCTCAGGCCTGTAATCCCAGAACTTTGGGAGTCTGAGGCAGGTGGATCACAAGGTCAGGAGTTCAAGACCAGCCTGACCAACACAGTGAAACCAACTTGGTGAATGGTCTCTACTAAAAATGAAAAATAAATTAGCCAGACGTGGTAGCAGGCGCCTGTAAACCCAGCTGCTCAGGAGGTTGAGGCAGGAGAATTGCTTGAACCTGGGAGGCGAAGGCTGCAGTGAGCCGAGATTGTGCCTGGGCGACAGAGTAAGACTCTGTCTTAAAAAAAAGTTTTAAATATAATGTTATAATGATGGAAACAAGTCTTTTGCACACCTGAGACCTTGTTTCCACATCTTCCCTGATAGCCTTCCCTGTCCTCGCTGGATGAAAACCTCTGCACGCTGGCCCTGCCTGGGTGGGGGGCACTGCCCAGGGCCAAGTGGGAAGAGTGGAGGGGGCAGGAGCCTTCTGTGGGCAGGGAAGGTCCAGGGACCATTTAGAACTGGGAGTGAAGAGAGGTGTGGGTGCTTCCCCCCACCGCTGTGGGGTGGAGCCCCTGGCTCTGTGAAGGATCTGGGTCCAGGGCTGGGCGCAGTGGTTCATGCCAGGGCGGGTGGATCAGGAGTTCGAGACCAGCCTGTCCAACATGGCAAAACCCCATCTGTAGTAAAAATACAAAAATTAGCCAGGTGTGGTGGCTCATGCCTATAATCCCAGTTACTCAGGAAGTTGAAGCAGGAGAATCTCTTGAGCCCAGGAGGTGGAGGTTGCAGTGAGCCAAAATCTCCGCACTGCACTCCAACCTGGGTGACAGAGCAAGACTCCATCTCACAAAATAGAAAAAAAAGGATCTGGGTCCTCTCGGGGAAAGCTAGATCCTAGGCCCCCAGGGCTTGAGACTTCTGGAAAATCCTCAGGGCTGGTGGTCTTGTGCGGAGCCACCCCCTGAGTTGCTTTGACGGGCCTGGGCAGGGTCTGGCTAGAGCTGTGTCACCCTAGTCCAGCCAGATGGGCAGGGTCTGCAGAAGGCTCAGACACTGGCTGTGGAGCCCAGAGCTGTTGCTGGTATCTGTGGGTGGCCTAGAGGCAGTGAGGCTGAGGAGCAGGTGCTGGGCTGGCTGCCCTTCTGGCCTAGTCTTTGAAGATTATGGGGACCTTTGTGTGGAGGGGGCATCTCCTCAACCTGAACCAGCCTCAGGGAAGGAGTGAGCAGCATAGCGGCGCTGAGCCTAGAGTCCCGAGGGGACCTGTGCCATCTGTGAGGTTTGGTGCAGACCCCAGGTGACCCCTGCGCCCTCCTGAGCCCCTGCCCTGCTCAGGGCAGCCACAGGCACCCATCTGGCCGGAGTAGTCTTGACGGAGCCAGGGAGCCTCCTCTGGGCGGTGGGGTTCGAAGGCTGAGGCCTCTCCCTCCTCCAGGCCTCAGATTCTCTGGTTGTCACATGAGCACATCAGGCAGTGCACGGGCTTTACATGGAGGTGCAGGATGGTGCCTGGATTGGTCCTGGACCACCAGGGCTCCCCACTGGCAGAGCCATGAAGTTCACTTTGGGTGAGCTGGAAAGCAGGGGAGGGAGCTCCATTCTCTCCTCAGAGGGCCCTTCCCTCTCCCAGACATGAAACTGGGAAACAGACCAAGGCCAGGAAACATGGAGGGCTGGGACATGGGGCAGAGCCTAAGAATGCCCTTCTTAGGTCATTCTTCTTGGGCCTGGGGTCAGCTTAGACATGGCAGGTCCAGGGGACAAGTGGGAGAAGGGTGACCCAGGGTAAGGGGAGCTCCAAGGCAGGGATCCCTCACCCTGGGTCTCCCTTCTGGGGTTGCCTGAGTCTGCCTGAGCTGGGCCCCAGGGCGTTCCAGGACAGCAGAGCTGGTCTCTGGAGCCTCCAGCCCGGTTCGGTCCTGGCTGCTGCTGTGGGGTAGGAGGTGGCCTGGTCTGCTCTACTGTGTGTGGACCGTGGGAAGGTCCCTCCGGGGTCTCTGGGGTCCTGGGAGAGAAGCTGAGAGACCGGCTGGCTTGGGGACAGGAGGCCCGGTGGGCCAGCAGTTGTGGTTCAGAGCTGGGCACTGGGGTGTCTGGGGGAGCAATGTTTCTGGCGGTGTCGGCAGCAGCTCTGGGAAGCCGAACCCAGGGGAGCCGTCAGACCATCAAGCGCCTCCTCCCTCTGCGGGTGGACACCCATTTACACAGTGCAGGGACGCCCAGATGGAAATTTATGGTGTGGAGGAAAGAACTTCTCACTCGGGTTCCAGCCAGCCGGGTGAGAGAACAATATTTCCCATCGAGGGGACGTGCAAAAGCTCTTAACAAATCGATGGGCTGCATTTAGTCAATAAACCACAGCGCTTTCCAGGGAGGTGGGAGCCCTTCGCCCCCTGCCGTCCCTGGGGCCCCTCAGGCTTTGCTGAGGGTGGGGGTCCGGCTGGGTGGGTAGACTCCAAGGAAGCCGGGGAGCTTGGGTCTTCTGTCCCAGCCTGTAGCTTCTGGCCTCAGGACATCTCCCTGCCTTGGGGTATGGAGAGGACAGGGGTTTCCCAGGCGCACACAGGGGCAGCATTGTTGGTGGAGGTCTGGGGATCACATCTTGGCTTCCTGCTGGGGGTCCTGGGTGCAGCCACCTTTGCCCCTCTGGCCCTGCCTTCCTGGACACAGTAGCTGCCTCTCTGGGGCGTGGCCGCACAGCCCCTCCCATCTTGCATGCACCTCCCTCCCCAGATCCCCTCTCAGCCTGGCCCTGCCCTCCAGGCCCCATGGCTCAGTGCCATACTGAGTGTGTGTCTAGCATTTCAGTTGCTAAACATTCACTTCTGAGGCTGCCCCAGCGTGGTGAGGTCTGGCATTGGAAGCAGCGGTGAATAGGACCCATGCGGGGACTCAGGGTGTGACAGGCAGAGGGGTAGGTGGGGTAGGGGCAGGTGAGGTGAGGGCGCGCAGAGGTCAGGGAGGGGCTCTCTGGAGGTGACATTCAGCAGAGACTGAGTGAAGGTGCGGAGTCCAGGCACACTGGGAGGTGCCATCCAGGCAGAGGGAGCAGCCGTGCCAGGGAACCGAGGTGGGAGGGGCCCGGTGGCCTCAGGCTCAGCGAGGGGCTGTAGGGCCAACATGGCGGGAGTAGAGTGGTCGCAGGCTGGCCAGGAGACACAACCCATGAGCCACACTTAGGACTGTTGATTTTCTTTCTTTTTTATTTTTTTTTGAGTCGGAGTCTCACTCCAGGCCAGAGTGCAATGCACGATCTTGGCTCACTGACTCCCGGGTTCAAGTGATTCTCCTGCCTCAGCCTCCCAAGAAACTGTGACTACAGGCATTTGCCACCACAGCCAGCTAGTTTTTGTATTTTTGGTAGAGATGGGGTTTCACCATGTTGGCCAGGACGATCTCGATCTCTCAACCTTGTTATCTGCTCACCTCGGCCTCCCAAAGTACTGGGATTACAGGCATGAACCACTGTGCCGGGCCAGTACTGCTAATTTTCTAGTAGTTACATTAAAAAGGTAAGAAGAAACCGGTGACATTAATTTTTGTCAGGGAGACAGGGTCTTGCTATGTTGCCCAGGCTGGCCTCCACCTCCTGGGCTCAAGTGATCCTCACGCCTCAGCCTCCGAGTAGCTGGGACTACAGGAAATTAATTTTAATAATGTGTGTTATTTAACCAGATATTAATACCTCAAGCACATCGTCACTTAAGCATATCACCAATATACAAAATATCAATGAGACATTTTATACATTTTTTTTTTTTTTGGAGGCAGGGTCTTACTCTGTTGCTCAGGCTGGAGTGCAGTGGGACAATCACGGCTAACTGCAGACTCCAACTCCTGAACTCAAGTGATCCTCCCACCTCAAACCCCTCAATAGCTAGGACTCAATAGCTGGGCTCGTGTCACCATGCCCAGCTAATCTGTTATTTTTTATAGCAACAGAGTCTAACTATGTTGTCCAGGCTGGTCTTGAACTCCTGGCCTCGAGCGATCCTTCTGCCTCAGCCTCCCCAAAACGTTGGGATTATAGGCATGAGCCATGACAGCCAGCCTGCTTCAGTTTTAAAATTTACATTAAAAATAATGAAGTTAAATACAAAGGAAAGTTCATTTCCTTAGTTGTACGGGCTGTGCTTTAGGTGGGTTCTGTTTTAGGTGCCCAGGGGGCCACAGGTGGCCAGGGGACAGGAGGAGCTCAGGTGGGCTGCAGGCATCGCATTTTTGGGGGCGGATCATTTGCCCAGAGAGGAGGATGGCTGCTCTGGCCTCAGACGTGCTTGGAGAAGGAGTGGGCAGATGCCACAAAGGTGGGGTCCTGGGAGAGGCTGGGACCAGCCAGGAGGCCTTGAGAGCAGGTGTGGTTACAGCGTGACGGTCCTTGGTGGGGAGGAGGCTGTGGGCTGGGGTGGCAATGGAGACACAGCTCTTGAGGCGTTAGCAGGAAAGGAGAGCTGAGAAGTGTTTGGGGGGACCTCAGTGTCCTGGGGCCCGTGTTTCTAGGCCCTCCCTGCTCTGATGCCCCAGGGGCCTCCCTGGGAGACGGAGTCCCTGAGTCCTGCCTACTACCTTGCCTCCTTCCAGCTTCTCCAGGCCAGGGAGGTGTGGGGAGTGTGGCGCCTGAGAGCAAGAGGCCTGGACGTCAGGCGTCCAGCACTGGCCAAGCTGTGACCCTGGGGACCCCTGACCTCCCTGGGCCTCAGTTTCCTCTTCAGACTCGTGGGCATCCAGGCACATTCAAGGTTGGAATGAAGGACGTCTGCCTATTTGCAAACTGTAGAGAGCAGTGGACTCAAGTGCAAGGGAGAAGTGGGGCTGAGCAGACTGAGGAGGCCCAGGCCCACCCACCCCTGCCTCTTGGGCAACGAGTGCCATGGCTGCCTGCCCAGCTAGCCTCAGGGGATGCCACGTGGCTGGGATGTGTGGCCCTGGCCCTGCTTTCCATCTGGTGTGACTTTGTCTCCCTCTTGATGCCCCCCCCCACCTTCCTGCAGCTCCCGCCCTTGATGCCAGGACCGGCCCCCACCACGCCCGGGCAACTGGTGGTCCCGGCAGACCTGGCCAGCAGGCAGGACTCAGGGAAGCCTGCAGGGCCATCAGGCAGCCTACTGACCACCAGCCCTCAGGCCTGGGGATAGAACTAGAGTCGTTTGGGGCCACAGCTGCCACCCTCAGGGGCATGGGGGAGGCAGGTGGGGGTCTGTGTAGGCAGCACCCTTACCCCAGCGGGCAGAGTCCTGGGATATCTCGGGAAGTTTCCTTCTCACTGTGCCAGGCCCGGTGTCTGGCTGGTGAGTTTGAGGCACACTGATCAGGCTGAACTCAGAATGCTGGGGAGTCAGGGTCAGAAAAGTCCAGGCAGGTCCCTGCAGGGGACCTGCACAGGCCAGAGGCCTCCACCCCTGGGCACCAGTTGGGCTGTGAGCCACTGTGATGGTGGCTGTGCTGGGCTCTCAAGCTGTGCCCCCTGCTTTGTGGGGCCTGGCTCTCCATCCTGGCTGGATGCCACTTTCTTTGTGTGGGTGAAGCTGTCTGGATTCTCATCTGGGGCCAGAGAGCCGCCTCCCATCGGCAGAAAGGTGAAGTGAAGCTTCTGCTTTCCACAGTCCTCTGGTGCCCAGAGAGGGGAGGGAAGGGCTCAGGGCCACACAGCACACAGGGGTCGGGGGGGGGCGCTACCGCCTGCCGCGTGCTACCAGGAATGCATTGGAGCCTCGTGGGCACTGGAGGTAGATGCTTCTCCCCCCATTTCACAGATGAGAAAACCGAGGTGACTCCCTAGCCCAGGCCCAGGCCCCTTTCCAGGCTTCTGCCGTGGGAGGTGTGCCTCCATCACCCCTACATCCTGGCTCAGCCCTCGGGGACTGCAGCCCTCTTCCCACCAGGCTGGTGCCAAGGGGCACCGGCTCCTGGAAACCCAGAGAAGGCAGACAGCTCTTCCGCGTTGTCCTGGAGATGCTGCCAGAGTCGGCCTGTTTGTCCTGCTGCCAGGGCCGCCGGGGGCCCCATCGATGCCCACCTGGCCAGACACAGCTCCCATCATTAAATATGGCAAAGTGTGGCACCGGCTCCACAGAGCCTACCGTGGAAGAGAAAGGTAAGAAGTCAGGGTCCCTCGGACACAGCCCTGACACCAGGCATCTACCCCACCTGAGAGGAGGGGCCTCGTGAGGCTGCCTCGCTGAGCCTCCATGTCCCATCCGGAGCCAGGGTGGGCACCCTCCTGTCCCCAAAGCCCTGGAAGATCCATGCAGGTGGCATGACACCCACCTGGGGGCCCTGGTCATCCGTGCATGGGCAGTAGATCCCTGGGCCAGACCCTGAGTCAGGAGAGCAGGCGGGAGGCAGCTCCATCTCTCCAGTAGAAGCCAAGTGTGTCCAAGGATGTCCTCCTGGCTGGATTAGCTGTGCCCACGCTCCTGAAGATGCTAAATGGGCAGATTGTCAGGAAGCAGGGCCCAGGCAGGGACAGCAGCTCTGCTGCCCCATCTCTGGCCTAATTAGCCCTAAGACTGTCCAGTCTTGCCAGCACTGGGAAGTCCTCTAGCCAGGCCTTCTCAGGCCTTCCTGGGCCCAGGGCCCAGCCCATCTCCCCCTCCCAGGGGCTCTTTCCACCCTCCAAACCCACAGATGACTTTCCCTATCAAAACAGGCAATAAAGCTGGCCAGGCCCATTTCTTTTTTCTATTTTGAATTCTGTTAACTGACAATTTAACCTAAAATTTTCTGTATTTCCAGCTTGTACAGCTGTAAATAGAGACTGACAGTTTATTTTCACGTCCTGGCTCGAGGGGGGCGGCGGGGGGGAACCCATTTGAAATAAATACTTGCGGGTTTCTGACAGACTCCAGACGGGCCGTCGACGCCGCCTGGCAATCTCTGGGACCTGTCACACTCTGTGATCGGTCTTTTTACAAACACAAACGCTGCTGATTTCTTATCAAATGTAAAACCGGCCCGGCTCTTTCTTAAATGGTTACCACGAGCATGAAATTGACATTGTGAATCACATGTGACACCGGCTTGTCTGCGCTGTAATTGATCGGTGCTTAGGAGCAGGCGCCGCTGGCCCCGAGCTCCCAGCCCCGCCGCGCCCCCCACCGCCCGCAGCCGAGCTCCGAGCCCAGGCCCCAGCAAATCGTTGTCAATGGGAGAAAACTCCAAGAAAACGCTTGATTCATGTACGTTGCGTTTCTTCCCCTCCGCGATCCTCCGAGGTGTCAATTCCAATTTCCACGGCTCCATCATTACGCACATCAAACGGCTGTAATTGGCTGCTACAGAAATTTATCCTCCAAAAGGAGAGAGAGTGGGGGAGAGAGGGCAGGAGAGGAGGGAGCGGCGGAGGATGGGAAATGGTGGCAGTAATGAGATTTTGGAAGCCGCGGCGCCACCCCTGAGGTTGGCAGGGAGAGGGGAGAGGCTGGCATGCTCCCGGGAACTCGGCCGCGTTCGGTCTGGCTAGCAAAATGCCGTTTGAAAACAAGTCTGGCGGGGTGTGTGTGTCACACAACAGCCGTGAACACACGGCGTGGGTCCAGGAACAGCCGGCGCCTTTCACAGTCGTCGTTGTCACGGTTACGGCGGGCGACGCCTCCAGACTCCCTCCCCCGACTTCACAGTTTGCACAGCTGGTGGTGCCCAGTTCCTACCACACCAACCAGAGTTGCTTGGGGGTGATCGCTGTGTTGCAGAAGGTGAAACTGAGGCCTGGAGAGGGGAGATAGCTCAGGAAGCCAGTCTGGGGCAGGGTGTGAGCCTCCTTTCTTAGAGTTTCGCTTCTAGATGTCCCCGGAGACCTCTTTGTGGCTGCTTGGTCCACAGTGCCAGCATGCATCCCACCTCTGCCTGCTTCTGCACCCCCATTTCCAGGGCTGCCTGCCCCCTCTGTCGGGCAGGCTCTGCTGGCACCCTGGCAGGTTGTGCAACCTGAGTTGGTTTTTCAGACCATGGATTTTTCCCTAGCCTTCTGGGGCGTGCAGGAGTGTGTAACTGAGCAAATCAAAGGCCCGAAGGGGCCGCCCTACAGCGCCCCAAGCACCCAGCCTTTCTCCCTCCAGGGCTGGTTGCTCAGAGCTCACCCACCCCCTTCTGCTCCCCAGCCCCAGGACCTGCAGGCCTGGCTCACCCTCTGCCCCAAGTCAGCCCACGCTGGCCCCCGGGACGTACAATCCTCTCCGAGTCACAGTGCCCATGCATGCCTCCTCTGGGCCCCACGTGCGGTCCAGCAGCTCCCTGGGCGGGTGTATTTATGTCTCTGTTTTTCCATTTGGATTTTGTGACTGATGAAACAGCGGTGCTAAATTGCACACACGGTCATGGAGCCTTGAGGCAGCAGGCGGCAACCTTCCCAGTTCACTGTTACACAGCCAGCCTCCTGCAAATGGCGACACTGGGCCCCTTGCCAGGGCCTCCCCAGCACCCCACAGAGGGCAGGAAGCCACCCTGCTGACCAGATGGAGAAACTGAGATCTACCAAACAAAGCAGCTCCCTGGCTGGGCCCACATCCCAGGTGCCTGGGCCAACACCCCCCGCACCATACACACGTAGTGTCTGAGGCCACCTGAAGCCTCTCAGGGAATCTATTTTGTGAGTGATGGTGGGAAGTCTCTCAGTCCTCCACAACAGGAATGGTATGCTCCTTCTGACTGCCTGGCTTGTTTTTCTCTCATGAGTGTTGTGATGGATGCGCTGCAATAGAATGTGTTTCCTTTTTTGCCTTGGCCCCTAGGAAGCTCAGAGTCAAGTCAGTCTGCTTTTATCAACTCTATGGACACCCAGGGTATTCATCTCTGAATGCCAAACTCTCTGGAGTCACTCAATTGAGTTTTGTGCCTTTTTCTAAGTGTTGCAGATCCTTTGGGGAATGAAGTGAAGCCAGTGAATCCTGGAACATCCCGAAGGTCTGGTGTTGGGACCTCTCTGGGGTGCGCATCAGACCCTCCATCCTCTTCCCACTTCCTTCTTGCCAGTTGCCCTCTCCAGAAGTTCCATTTGAGGTCCATCCAGGGGGCTGGCACCATGGCAGGCACTTTGACAGGAGGGACTTTGGCACTGGTGGCAGGGGGCAGGATCTGGGGAGAGCCAACCCATGCCGGTGGTGAGTTCAGGGCAACTCCCAGAGAAGCCTTCACAGAAACTGCAGGGTGGTTATTCAGCGGAGGGACAGAGACTAGGTGTCACCTCTGTTGCCTTTTTTGCTTGAGAACAAGCTTTCTGGATGCTCTGCTGAGGAGGAGTCTGTGGTCCTGTCTCAAAGGCATCACATGATTGATTAGCGATGTCTGCAGTAGATGGGGATGGTGGCTGGGGCTCCTACGGTTTCTCAGTTGGGGCTGTTGTCAGGCTTTGTTGAAGCTGGGCTCACTGGTTGTGCCCACCCCAACCACACAGAGAGGCCTATCCAGACACTATCAATGGGCAGGGAGGCCATCTTCACCAAGGCACGCAGGGGCCTGGGGTGGCTGGACCTGAGGCAGGGATGCCCAGGTGGGCTTCTCCCTTCAGGCTCCGAAAGGGGACTGCAGAGGCAGGGAGAGCCCCTCTCATGATCCCATCTGGAGCAGGCGTGAGAGACACAGCTGGGCTCTGGAGGCCTGGGAAGAAGTCCACGAGAAGAAAACCACATTGTGGGGCCACTCCAGGGCAGATGGTCCCAGGTGGGCTGGACTGCTGGGGAAGGGTGGCCCCGGACAAGTGAGGGGGCATCTCAGAGCCTCACGTGAGCATCCAGGGACTCTAGGGGTCCCCATCTGTCTCTTCCGCTCCTGGGGGCAACTCCCAGCCTCAGCATCCCGGGGAGGGAGGAGGCGTCTCAGAGGTTCCTGTCTTTGTCCTGGGGGTAGGGGTGGGGCTCCGCCAGGATGTTTCACATCTGGGGGCTGATCAGAGCCTGGTGGGACACCTACTTCCTTACTTTCCCTGGGGTTTTACAGACCACCAAAGCCCCCTGGGATCTTCACGTCCAGGCAGTGAATGGAGGATGCGCTTCGCCCTGGACATGTACTGCCTGAGCCTTTCCCTAGTGCTTCAGGCTTGGAAGGCACTTGGGGGGTGGGGGGGAGGCTGGGGGTCCCTGGACTCAGAGTCCCTCTCCATTGCTTATGCTGTGCTGAGCCACCTGGGATTAGCCCTCTAACCCCTCTGGGTCTTGATTCCTTCCAAAGAGTTTCTGCCCAGAGCCTCAGAATGTTCTGGGTTGAAACACAGGTCCTACTCTTGCTGTCCTGGTAGAAGACGAGGCCCAGAGAGGGGCAGGACCTGCTCAAGGCTGCACAGTGAGTGTGATCTGAAAGCCTCCAGGGTCCGCCAAGGGGATGCAGGGTGCTGGGGCCAAGGTAGGCTGGGGAGCTGTCCCTGCTGGGATGTGCTGGGCCTGTGACAGTCACACCTCCCCCTGGGCTCCTCCTCCTCTGGTTCCTTTCCTCTTCCTGCCCCACCCCTCAGCAGAATCTCATCTCTTACAGCCCCTGCCCTCCTTCTGAGGCTGTGGAAATGGAGTCACAGGGAGCCAGGGTCAGAAAGGGGACACATCCAGCTTCCTGACTTGCCGCTCCGTCTTCACTCACTGCCATCGGGTGCCCAGCGAGGCTCTCAGAAGCCCGGACACTCTGTCCAGGGGCTGCCTCCCTGGCCCGGACTCTGTGGGGGCTCTGGCTGGTCCCAGGCTGGACTTCCCCGCCTCACCAGCCAGCTGCCCCAGGATGGGTAAGGCTGGCCCAGCATCTCAGAGCAAGTGGGGAGGGAGGGGAAAGCCAAAACTTTAAGGTATATGAACTGTGAAATTAAATAGAAATACTCAAATAAAGAATCACATAACAACATAAGCAAAGATGTTTACCAGGGCTTGAAGTTAAATACAGATTTTTTCATAAACCCTAACACAAAATGCAATAAAGTTCTGTGGGATGTTAAATATAATTTACAGTGGGAGGATGCCCCTCGCCGTCAGGAACCTGCGTGCACTGTGTCACTCTCCAGTGCTGACTTCTGCCGGCCTGGTACTGGCTCACCTGGCAACCTTGACCCCCGAAGGGCTGCGGGATCCCGGGACCGGGAGCTCACTGTGGGACCGCCCTTGTTTGTGGTCATCCCTCCCCTCCTGAGTGGAAAGCGGTGCCATGGGCCCAGGGCTGGCTGCGACTGCCAGGCGTGCCCTCCATTCAGGCAGAGCTCAAGGCGGGACTCATCTCCCAACAGAAGGGTGGGCAGCAAATGCCACCCAGTTGCTGATGGGTCCCTGGTCCCTCCTGGCCCCCCAGAGCCCCTCCCACCTGCACAGAACTCCCCACTAGGGACCACCAATCCCGGGCCAGGAGACGCCCCCCTCAACCTCCACCCCCCCCACCCCGCACCCACTGTCCTCTTTTGGTCCCTGCTCCTGGTTACATCCCCGCCCAGGAGGGGAGCCTTGCAGTCGTTGACACTGTAGTGAGAGTGGGCGCTCTTCCCCGGCCCCTCCGAGCACAGCCCTCTTGGCTCTGGCTGTGGAATGTGGAGCTCCCTGGGGATCCACTGGGTGGGAAGGGCTGGGGACAGGGAGGGGCTGCCCAGAGCCACTTGCGATTCCAGGTGACTCCAATTAGAGTCGAGTCTTATTCCAGGACTCTGGGGAGAATCGGTGATAATAAAGTTCTTGGTGAGGAAAATCTGCCCGGAGCAGTAGCTCCAGAGAGCAGAGTCAGCCTGCGCTTCAGGGTGGGTGTCGGTGCGAGGGTGGGTGCATGGGTGGGTCTATGGGTGGCATGCATGTGTGTGTGTGTGTGGGTCTATGGGTGTGTTGGGGCATGGGTGTGTGTGTGTATGTGAATGTGGGCTCATTGGTATGTGTTGGGTGGGTCTGGGTGTCTGTGTATGGGTGCTGGTGAGTGGGTTGGCCTATGGGGCGTGTGTGTGTATGTGTGTGTGTGAGATATGGGTGTGTGGGTCTATGGGTGTGTGTGAGATGTGGGTGTGGGTCTGTGGGTGTGTGTGTGTGTGATGTGGGTGTGTGAGTCTATGAGGTGTGTGCGTGTGATGTGGGTGTCTATGGGTGTGCGTGTGTGTATGTGTGTGAGATGCGAGGGTGTATGTGTGATGTGGGTGTGTGAGTCTATGGGGTATGTGTGCATGTGTGTGTGTGAGATGTGAGTGTGTGGGTCTATGGGGGTGTGTGTGTGATGTGGGTGTGTGAGTCTATGGGTGTGCATGTATGTGTGTGAGATGTGGGTGTGTGGGTCTAGGGTGTGTGTGTGATGTGGGTGTGTGAGTCTATGGGGTGTGTGTGCATGTGTGTGTGTGAGATGTGAGTGTGTGGGTCTATGGGGGTGTGTGTGTGATGTGGGTGTGTGAGTCTATGGGTGTGCATGTATGTGTGTGAGATGTGGGTGTGTGGGTCTAGGGTGTGTGTGTGATGTGGGTGTGTGAGTCTATGGGTGTGCATGTATGTGTGTGAGATGTGGGTTGTGTGGGTCTATGGGTGTGCGTGTGTGTGTGTGTGAGATGTGGGTATGTGGGTCTATGGAGGGTGTGTGTGTGATGTGGGTGTGTGAGTCTATGGGTGTGCATGTATGTGTGTGAGGTGTGGGTGTGTGGGCCTATGGGTGTGTGTGTGTGATGTGTGTGAGTCTATGGGTGTGCGTATGTGTGTGTGTGAGATGTGGGTATGTGGGTCTATGGGGGTGTGTGTGATGTGCATGTGTGAGTCTATGGTGTATGTGTGTGATGTGGGTGTGTGTCTATGGGTGTGCATGTATGTGTGTGAGATGTGGGTGTGTGGGTCTATGGGTGTGCATGTATGTGTGTGTGATATGGGTGTGTGAGTCTATGGGTGTGCATGTATGTGTGTGAGATGTGGGTGTGTGAGTGGGGTGTGTGTAGGGGTTCTTAAGTGGGTCTATGGGGGGGTGTGTGTGGGTGCCTGGGTGGGTCTATGGGGCCTGTGTGTGTAGGGATGTGTAGGGGTAGGGTGTGTCTGACACATAGACCAGGGAGCTGTGTGTTTCTGTGTGTGTGTATGCATGTGTGAATGTGAGTATACCTATGTGTCCTTTGGTGGGGGTCACAGGGGTTGGGGTGTTCCGGGCAGCTGGAGACTCGGTCCCAGTGAGATGGTCCCTGCCCAGGCAGCACCCAGGGATGCAGTGCACATGCTGTAAAGGGGGGGCCCTTCCTCTGCCGCCCTGGACCTGGAGTGCGGCACCAACTAGGGCTATAGAGAGGAATCTGACCTTTCCCCTGGGCCCCTATCCAGCCCCAGCCTCAGGGGCCCCAGGCCTGTCAAGGGGCCGATGCACACTCTTCAGGGCTGTGGGGGAGGAGCAGCCTCCTGCAGTATTTCCATCTTCTTTGCGGTCAGCTCAGGGTGAAGGAGCCTCCTGCCCCTGTAGATCTGAGGCATGACGGAGAGCTGGTTTCGGGGCCAAGGTGCACTGGGCCAAGCTTTTTGGCTCTTTACTGGCCCGGGCTGAGGCTGGGTGGGCAGGGGCATGGTGCCTGGGAAGGGCTCTAGTCACAGCACGCAGCCCTGGACTGAGCAGTCCTCTCAGGTGCTAACCCATCAGGTTAGGTGGGCTCACAGGGACCAAGCCGGGTCACAGGGGCGCTGACAGCAGTGTGTCCTTTACCCTCCAGCAGTGATGTGAGGTGGCCCTCTCATCCCCACCCAGCAGGAGGGGCTCCCTGGGACAACACCCCGGAAGAGGTGACGCCACAGCCAAAGCTGGAAGCCCCCTGTGCCAGCTCCCACGCTGCAAGCCTACCCCAAAGTTCCAGCAGGTAGGCGCCCGTCTGTCTGTCCCTTACCAAACCTGCGCCTCAGGGCAGGCCTGAGCCAGGAGAGAGGGATCCAGATGACCAGATGTGCCCCACACCCCCAGCCAGGGTCTCCCATTCTGGGACTGGGACAGAAGAGCCAGTCACAGCCGTGTGGCCAATCGATTTCAGTCCTCATCTGCAGGGCCTGGGAAGGAGCTGGGCCCGAGATGGGCCACCTGGGTCCCAGGCCTCGGGGGTCCCTGGGACAGCCCCGTCAGGGTTGACTGTGTCCGGCCCAGCAGGCGGCGTTTTGGCCTGGGGCCCTGCCTCCCGCTGTCTCTCCCATGGCCTCTCCACTTGGCCAAAAGTCACCTGGTCACTCCCTGGCTCTTAAATTTGCGGGAGGCCAGTGGCATTTCTCCAGACTCCCAGCCTTCCTAATTTATGTGCTGCTTGGCGGGGAGTATTTTCTCTAAAAACAGGATGATGTGAGAAAAACAATCATGCCCCCAAACCACACTTAATGGGTGGGTCGGGCTGGCTCGTTAGCGCTGAATAATCGGGCTTCAACCGCACCGCTGGGGAACACAAATAAACAAGGGCACCGAGAGAATAGGGGTGGGGGTTTCCATGCTTGGGGGGTGCGCTGCTCGGCATCCAGGTGCATGGGGGTGCAGGGGATGCCGCCTGAGGGCTCCCGGCAGCTGGGACTTGAGTGCCCCTGCACTGCAGCCACCGTGCTGGGCACCCACCTTGGGAAAGGTCACTCGGAGTTGGTGCTGGTGTGTGTGGGGGGGTGGGGTGAGGCAGGCCCATCTGCCCTGCCCTGGAGGAAACCCTTTGTGCCCTCCCCTGGAGGAAACCCTTTGTGGTGAACCTAAAACCTGCTCAGTAACTTAAGCTTGTTTCCTCCTGCCCGGTCCTCAGGAAAGATGGGGAACAGCTGGTCACCACCCTTTCTCTAATAAATCCCATCAGACTGTATGCTGGGGGAGGGGCTGAGAGGCGATGGGAAAGGATGGAGGTCCGGCCAGCTCCCCTAGTCTGGCTGGACACAGCGGGACAGGCCCAGCCCCTGCCTCTGAGGCCCGGGAAGAGGCGCAGATCCCCATCGACCCCTGACTCCTGGTTATCCAAAGGGAAGACCCTGGTGGGGTGTAAGCCCCTGTCACCCCACTTCCGCTGCCTTTGTGTGGGGGTGGGGGCGTGCGGCGCTGAAGGAAAGCTGGGGTCCACGGGGACGGCGTCACTCCTTTTGTGCGGCCAAGTTGCAGGCGCATTGTGTACCGATCCGAACTTGAGCTCACAATTTGGGATTAGAGCAAATCCGAGTATTTTTCTGCATGCCTGCCCGCTCCCGGGCGCCCAGAGCCTGCTGGGTAACTGCCTATTATCCGCCGGTTCCACTCCAGTGCCCTCCCCAATAAAACTTTTCATATCCTTATAAACGAACTCGATTGCTGTGTTATAAACATTTACACTGTGCTAACAGATCATCTCCGCACATCAGAATTGGCTAAATTCCCTTTTCCAGATGAATATATTGAAGGAGATTAGAGATATGATAGCTTTTCAGATTGCTGAACCCAGAGAAATTAGTTTAGTGAGCATTTACAGAGGCTAAATTGGAACCATTAAATAGTGGATTAAATTGATGGCACTTTCATTGTCTGTCCTTCGGTACCGCTGTAAAATCAATTAGCCGTCACCAGCCCATTCTCCATATAGTGAGATTGTCCTGCTCCCTGGAAGTTGATGCAAAACCTCCCAGCGGCAGCCAGAGATGGGATCACACCTATTAGGTGGGGTTGCATGAAATAGCATCGGGACCCAGGTTGCTGCAGGAAGGGTCCCCCCCACCGACCTCCTTGGCCTGGCCGGCACTGCCTGCCTCTGTGGGGACAGCTCTAAACTGGGAGCTGTGGGGACAGGTGAGAGACAGCCTGGCCTGGTAGGGTTGGGAACTTGTTCTCTGCCCCCCAGGTGGCCCAGGAAGTCAGGCTGAATGTAGCCTCAGGTTGGAGGGAAAGAGTAGTCAAGGGGGACTGTGCTGAGGACACTAGGAGGTGCTGCCTGCATGTCTCCAGGCTTGTGGGGACACGGAAATTTTGGCATTGCAGCCTCATTTTGGGGGCTGTCCCTGGGTCCTGGGCACAGGCTCCTGCAGCCCTGGAAGGCAGCCGACACTATTTCTGCCCCCAGTTTACAGAGGGAAAATCTGAGGCTCAGGAGGTTACAAAGCTGCCCCAAGATCTGCAGTGCGTCAAGAGGCACATGTCCAGCCTC